GGGAACCTTTGCTTTCATTGTAACTGAATTACTAACCCTGATATTACTCCATTGGCCAAACTCCACTCATCGTTTCATCGTTTCCACTGGGTGGTGATGGTGACTCAATCCAGCTCCATGATAACAATGTGGGGAGATAAAATTTGTCAACGAGGCTGCTATTTTACCCAAAGTCGATTTATTCATAACTCATGGGAGGAAGCAATTTCTTTGATTGAAAGCTTAGCTGTTGGTAAACCATTAAATAGTTATACCTCTAATTGTTGATCAACATGATAATGCCCAACGAATAGTTGATCTTGGCCTAGGTGTCAAAATAAAATTGCATCAATTTAGTGGGGAAAAGCTATTGCAAGCCATTGAAGAAGTGCTCAATAGTGAAAAAATTAGTTTAAATGTTGCTCGAGTGAGTGAAGAGCTGAAAAAATCTGATTCAAGTGATAAAGTTGTTCCTCTAATAGAGAAACTTGCTCGAAATAAATCACTGTGTTAAAGTGTTTGTAAAACATTTCCTAGATTTTCTATCTTTGTATTAATATTTTTGCCTATCAATATTAATTTCTTAATGTTTGGACTCTTTGCTTGATTGTTGAATGAGCTGCCATCTATAGTTATAACAGTTACTTAGAATAGATTTGGCTCAGTTACTCCATCTGCTGCATTGTTAACTAGTGATGTAATATTGCATGAGAATTAAATTACGCGCTCAGTTTTCAGCTGATGCATCAAAGCATGCAAGTGAAATTGAACAACTCTCAAGAATAAACAGTTTGTGACAGTGCGATTTGTTTCATAAAGATTTTTCATTTAAGAATTGATTACTTAGTTCTTGTTTTATGATGCAACCTAATAACCTTCTTGCATATGTTAATATGTTTTATGATAATGAAATAATTTATTGTAAACCACTCTATCTAAGGTAGTTAACATCGTTTTTTAATCAAATTTCATTACGAAGTGTCAAAATCAACGATTAACAGTTCTTCCTCATTTATTTCAGGATGATAATCTAGCAGATTGTAACCAGTAACTTTCTTGTGCATCAATAAAATGGAGTGCCCAATAAGTAAACCTGATTCATCATGAATGATGGTTCCAGTCAAATATTGAATTGCCTGACAACTGGTCTGATTTGGCGGTTTTACTGAAAAATGTTATTAAGAAGTGCGAAAAATCGCTTCTCTTTTCCAACAAGAATGAGTTGACACTTTATGGAAAGGAAGATCAATAATTTCCCGAGATAGAGATGCTGTTATTGAAAACTAATTTAACCGATTTCTCAATTCTATCTTAAGATTGTTTTTTGGAAGATTTGGTTAATCAATGTCGTTGTAGTGTATCTGGCATCATTCGAATGTTTACTAAGAACAGTGATCGATGTAAATGAAAATTTCACTGTGAATAATCCTTTGTGTGGATAATGCCGGACTTTTCATTCTGTTCACAATTACTATAACGACTTCAACTCGGAATCTTTTTCAGAAATGGGATTTCGTGTACCAACCGAAATTGCTCAACTATTCAAGAATAACTCAATACTTTATTGCTGAATCACTTAACTCAAGATGCATATTATGAAAATCGGTGAATTTGGCGAATTTGATAATAAAAACAAAGGACACAATATGATAGAGAAACTTTATCTTTCCAGAATCACGTAAATTTGCGGAATTTCATAAAGCAGTGCATTCACAGCACGGCAGAAGACAATGGCATTTATTAGATCTTTTCACTTCTTGATTCGCTGGTTTGGTCTATGGAACCAAACGTAGAGAAACAAATGAAGGACGATTAATTGTATCTGAAAGGGGGATGAGCACGATGAAACTGGCTGTGTATCCAAGCCAAATTATTTAATTTGACGCATTTGACTCACTTCGTAAAGTCGATCAATAAATTTCTAAAAAAAGCTGTAAATGAATGCAATTTATCTTTTCCAATTTTTGTATCATTAGATTAAAGTGAATATCTGATGTCAAGTGTATCTTGATTGCTTCAATTACCCATGAATTGAGTACGGACAGTTTGATGAAATTCCGAATTCACACGAAAACTTGAAATCATTTCGAGTGCATGAGTTCGCCTATTTTGGGCGTTTTGTTATAGTTTATTGTAAATAAAAACTCGAATCAAAATTGCCGTTTATTTCATTTTGTTGTCATTAAGTTATTTGTGCTTGTGAATAATCAACTGGAAACACAATATGATTATGTTAACTTTGTTTGTATTTTTATGCACAACTGCCATAAGTCAAGTTGATTCAGGTAAATGACAACTAATTGATTGAAAAGCAATATCGACTGAGTATATTAACCTATTATTTTAGTGATGCCTATACAACTTCCGATGCACCTTGAAGATGGTAATTGGTTGATAAAAGCGAAACTTGTAGATAGAGTAAGTAAAACGAAACAAACCGTTCGTCTGAGTTTGAATACCAATTTATTACAACTTCCAGGACAGTAGCTTTCAAATAAATATCATTGAGTACATCAAATCCATCAATGGAACAATCAGAGGCAGAATATATTTTAAAATCGATGATGCTGATGTTCTCTCAATGTTTTATACGAATAAGGAGCAGTTCAATCGATTGCTTGTTGGTGGTAAGTGATTATAATAGATTTTAATTTTCATTCATTAGTTTGATTTCATCTCTATTTTTTAGAAACCTCTTGTTCGTTATTTAGCTACAGTACAAGCGGTTGGAATTTATACTTGAAGGCTTTGTCAAATAAAGGTTTTCTCAATCATTTGTTGTATGTTGGACCTTCAGTTATATTAAGAATACCTGAATACAGCTATGCCTGGGTAAGTCAAGTTGTGCATTTCATTTAATCTACAATTAACATTCGAACTGATTCGGGTTACCTTTTGAATCCAGAAAACAGCAGAAGATGAAGTTATCAGAGGTGTTAAAGAGCATGCTGCTAAAGTGACCCTTGATCGAGACCTCGATGTGTGGTTTTACTTCAAAGGTAAGAGTTTTTCAGTGATGTGATTAACCCAAATTGATTGAAAATAATGAACATACAGACGATGATTATGAAGCTGGACTCACAAAACCAAATAAAGTCAAGTTTCTTGGCTATGATGCACGTATCGCTTATGAACCAAATGGAATGTATTGGTTTGACATTTATATGAACGCACGAGTTGAACAAAATTTCGATACAATTGTTACTGTAAGTAATTTCTTTAGTTAATTTGTTGATCAATTGCTTAAAATTTCTTGTTCTGTTTCGATTTAAATATAAATCTAGCCAAAGCCAACTATTTACTGTCAACAATCAGCTATTGATTCACTGGGTTATCCAAATGAACCTTTTCCTAGGATAACAGAACATTCAATTCATTTCATTTCTAAAACCAAAAGTTTCAATGCTGGTCCATCAAAGAGAGAAGAAGTAAGATTTTTATCATTTCATTGGGTGAATATTTTAATGTAAAATTAATTTACATGCATTTATTGTAGGTTTATGCTGATGAAAGGTATCAAATCCTAAGCATTAAAAGTTCAACTGGTGGAGATAATAAGACTGAAACCATTTATAATTATCAATTAGGACTTGTATATGAAATGACAGAAGACGGAAATTGTTCAGTTTCTCCAATGAAACTATCAGCACCGGGTTTAGTTCAAGATTCATCATTGAGTTATGACATCTTTAAACTTGATTTGAATCGATTGCTCAACTTTCATTTGAATTACCGCTATTATGGACCAGCACTTTTCGTAAGAACTTTGGGGGTGCTTTTAATCATGATGTAACAATAAGTTAATGTTTATTTTAGGATGAACGGAATGGAATCGGAACACATGCTTGGCAAATAAGTGAAGAAAAGGCAAAAGTTGAGGAAAAAACGTATCCATATGTCGTTACTACTCAGTATTTTAACAAGTTGACAGTGAGTTTATCCAAATTCAGGAACAAAAAAATGATAAATAAATGAATTTACTTCTTTAAATGCTGTCTTCATAGGATATGTCTTCTGGCTATACTCTTGTTGGTACCATAATCAGTGCCTATGACATCGAAGTAAGTAACGTTCGAAGGGGTTGTTCAAATTTACAGTTGCTAGTAATTAACTCTATTTATAATTTTATAAGATTAAGTTAGATTAGAAAGTTTATCACTGAAACCGAATTGGAAGAAATCGAAAGAAAGATTCTTAATTATTAAATCGATGATAAAGTCTGGAAATTCCTTTTTCGAAATTGATTTATAATATTACTCAGTATAACTCAGCGAATGCCTGACCAGATGCTCAACATCAATGTAACTTTACCTTGAAACAGCGAAAATAAATGTCGCTAAACTTACATGTACTCGAGTCAAGTTTCAATGGTTACAAATTTATCAAGTTAAACATCTTAAATCTGAAAAGCTCTGGGTCAAATAACGAACAGCCGTATAAAAATGATAAATAACAAAATATTTTGCATTAAATATTCCAATATTCTTTACAGTATAAATTAAATGCTTCACGTACGACCGAATACTTCTTTTATGGACATGAGATAAGCTCATCAGAATCAACAAGAAAGTTTAATGTTCAAAACTGCTATCCTGATCCTGCATCGAGAAAGACTATTGCAATGTATTTCACTTGTAAAGGTTAGTATCAAATCATAATTCAATTTAAACTGTCCCTTGAAAAGTAAACGAGTATTTTTTATCCATATTTTAGATATTCCTTGTGACTACTTTGATCAATATTATTACCAATTTCAAGATAAAGTTAAAGAATCACTAGTCAACTCTGGAACAATTGCAGCTTCGAGAATCGCAAGCATTGTGCCAATATTTAATTCCGATGAAATTATTATTTACATTACGATTTTGGACTTTCCAAGAATAAAAGGTAACGAAGCTTTACTGAAGAATGTCGAATGAGAAGTCAAAAATAAGTTAGTTTACTAATATTTCTTTTTTGCTAAATAGATGCATTCGAGATGCGAAATATGAAATTAGATGAAAAAACTTTAACAAAAGCGTCAAAAGTCATAATTGATGGCAATGAAGAAGATTGTTTGATGAAAAATTCTTATAGATATGAACCTTTCGAGTAAGTACTTGCGCTTAAGTCCAGTAATTATTGATTCAAGTTTGTAAATCTTTAAATATAATATTAACAATATGAAACTTGTTCATTCGGATACTTGTCAAAATTATCAAAGGAGTGAGCAAAGTTTGATTGACCAACAAAAAAACAACGCAATCACTAGAAGTACGCACATTGGAACAATTTTTGGTTCAATCGTGTTATTCGCGGCAGCTGGACTTATTTTTGGAGCTCTTGTTGCTATTGTGACCACAAAATTTTATTACAGCAAGAAAAATGATCCATCTGATTCCTACAACCGTCACACATTCAGTTGGGATAAACAGTTGAATGAAGATTAATTGTAGATGAAATCTAATTATGTTTTAAAAAGTGAATAAAAATCAACAATATTAAACCATCAACTTGATTTGATAATTCAGTGATGATAAAGTGATTCAAATCGAATTAAAATCTATCTGCTTCGATAATGACTGATCGCATGTCCTTTTCACTTAGTACAATCAATCCACTTTGAAAACCAAATTTTTAATGCTAACCGGCGTCAATGGGAAAACTTAAACTATTAATACAATAGAATCGTGTTCTACATCAAAAGTAACCAAAGTTGAACTTTGTAAACGATTTTATCTAAAATCAGATCGAGTAGTAAGTAAGAATCGAATGAATTTAAATTGTACAAATGAATCTTATTTCTCTAAAAGTCCAGCAGATTGAAGCTATTAACTTGAAATAAAATTTTTTTTGCGCTTGTGAATCACACATCTCATATTTAAAGTTATCTCGCTCATTGAACTTGCTCGAAGGAAAATACCTTCATGCCATTTTTATTTCCAATATTTTCGTTTTAATTGTATTTTAATTATAGCCACAATTACGAGTTTTTAGCATAACTTACTTATTTCTGGGTTTGTAGCATTGTATAACATTTTATCTTGTTTTGATTTTTGAAAAATATTTTTACCCAAAAACCTTGAACATTATCTATTCAACGTTGCACGAATTTTTGCGATATGATTATTCTTTAAATTTATGTACAGTAAACTACCATAAATTGTTAGTACCAGCAATTTTCAGCCGATTATCCAATAATCATTCAACCCCAAAGATTAAACTATTTGACTCGAACCCTTTATTCACATGTTCTTTGTAAGGCTATGCTAAAGGAGGAGTACCAAAAGAATAGGGAGAACGGTCACGGATATTTTCATTCTCCTCTCACATTTTTTTCGGGCTAACTGTTTGCTATTTTATTATTAATTCTGCCAACTTTTACCCACAGTTCAATGTTTGGAAACACGTTTCGAAGCCTTTTAAACATTATTATCTTGATATTCTATTGATTCGGCCATTTCTCAGTGTTTATCAATTTTATTTTCTTGTTGATCATGTTTTGGTTTAACCTTCGATTGGATTGCCTTGATTCACTTAAAAAAGGTTAATCGTTTGCCTGAACAAGAAAATAAGAGAACCTTGAATTTCACTTTTTTACTTTTACCTTTTTCTCAGTGAGATACCTTCACATGAGATACACAGCTATTGATGTTATTTAAATCTAACTAGGGAAAATGGAGTTACCATATCAAATCAGAAGTTATTCATTTTTTATTTATTCACGAGTTGGTAATTATTTGATCTGATTTTATTGACAAAAATATAAGTTAGTATTTGATTGAAATTACATTGATTTAAGAGAGCATCAGATTCTTGGGTAACTTGAGTTGTAAATAGCAATTCCACAAGTATTGTTTCCTCTCAATATTCGACCGTAACCATTTTCACCCCAATGTTCCCCCCAACTGTTCTTGAAGATCCAATAAGGAGTTCCATTTTCAGTTCCATAGCCGACTATTGGAACCAAGTGGGTAATTTTATCTTTAGGGCAATTAGGACTATTATAAATCCCTTCTCTATTAATGAAAGTCGACAATGGTTGATGATTAAATCTGTAAATAGCAAACGTTGGATAACTTACTTGTAAAACACGAAATCCTGCAGATCTGCGTAAATGTATCTAGCGACAACATGCTCAGCAACAGCATCACGGAGAGCATTCTCGTTGTACCTTGGAACGTATACAAAATCTTTTATTTTAATCCTGTCACATTCAGAGTTGACTTTGCAAGCCTTTTGACCAAATAAGTCATCATGTGATTCATACGGGTAACAATTTTCTAGACGTAATCCTTTACTCATTGCATATTGGTAACCGGTGCTCACAAATCCTATAGTGCAGCCTTTGGATTTAGGAGCACAGTCTAGTATATCTTGTGCTGAAAGATTAACCAGTTTACCGGTTGCTTGAGCATAGGCTGCTTCGATTACTGCTGCACCAGTAAATGCCCAACAAGATGGACATGCACCTTGATCTTTAATCCTAGTCAAGATACCTTTTGTCCTCCAATCAACTGATTCTGGAGCTTTGAAATACGATTTATGATGAAATTTAACATCTAATGGTTGTGGTTCCACTTCTATCTCAGGCATTTTCGTTTCATTGATTGTCTTTGATTTTCAAATTCAAATAAGAAAAGTCAATAAATGACTCTAATCATTATAATGTATGAATAAATATTGAAATACTTTACCAAATCAGCAAACTTTGTGATTCCCAATTGATAACTGTGTTCACCTCGAATGGCCTTTTCATTGTGAAGTTTAATTTTCTTCAAATTTTCATTGAAAATATTCTTTCGATAAGTTTCTTCCTCGGAATTGAGATAAGTTTTGCCATGAGTTTCCTGTTAAACAACGATACATAATGAAGGTTTAATCATCAATCTTCTTAAATATTAATAGTTACTCACCTTAAACAGTGTCCATTCCTTGTCGGTCAAAATAACACTTGATGTTGCAAAAGTAAAAAGAGTTACAATAACTAAAAGCTGGTACATTTTGTACTGGGCAATGAGATACTTCAGCGTTTCATTATTGCTCACAAGCCTTTTGTAACGATATTTATACTAAAACTGTAGAACTACTCAGAGGCTGTGATTCATTGCAATCAAGATTTTGGCGTTTTCTTATCGATCTAAGGGGTAATCACAAGATGAAATATTTAATCATCTTTTCATTCTTTACTAATAATGTTTCAATACGTCCATGAAAAATAAAGTCTGATGATCTGAAAATATAACCATTTCTGATTCTTGTCGTATTGCTGGAATGTGTGCAAGACTGATTTCTTTGTAATTAATAGGGTTATGTCATTTTTCTGTGTGAATTTAGTTACAATTAATACACTAACTCTGAATTATTTGTTAATATTATTCAATGAATGCAAGTTTCATTTAAGCTCGAAATGTTAAGTTATCATTTACGGTATTTTTTTGATACGTTTCATTGTAAAAATGTTATCATTCATTTATCACAAATAATTTGTATTGTTGAAACAAATAAGATCTGTGGAGCTTCAATTGATATCAACTTTAACAATTGAACAATAAGTAAAATAATTTCAGCCAGCTGATTTTTACAACGATAAATTGATAAGAAGTATGTTTAGGATTGAGTATCTAGATTTTGCCAGTTATGATTACTTCCATTGGTAAACTCAGCTCTTTTATTTTCTGATGCTGTTGCACTTGAATATTCATGTTACTTAAAAATGCCCATTCCTTTTCGGTCAATATAACACTTGGTGTTGTAAAAGTGAAAAGGGCTACAATAATGAAAAAATCTTAAGAGACTGAAATAAGCTGAAACTATGACTCATGGAAATTGTTGGTCTTATATCATATTGAATTCAATATTGTTGATGATATTAAACTATCCAAGGAATACTTGTTGAGAAAAATGTAGCATTGAAATACAGCCGAGAAAAAAAAGTTTGACATAACTAGTTAGTTACCACTAACTTCACGCATATACAATCGTTCATGTTTGTTCAAATGTTTGGTTTATGATCCACCGACTGTTTGATTGACTGTTTGACCGACCGAAGATTTCATTTACTTTGCTTCAGGACAACAAGATGTTTACCTTTACTCCATATCATGTGGCGGATGCAACAAAAGTCAATGACAATGAACATGATTCATTATTTGATTCAATCATTAGAAATACAAAGTTGGTTGAAGACAAAATGAAGACAATATCAGTTACTGATGCAACAGATTCGAGTTCTTGTTACCGAAAATGTGCCAATTCAGTTGAGAATAATTGTAATTCATTCTCGTTTTGTGTTTATAATGATAGAGTTGAATGTCTTGTGTCTACCAATATAAATATTTCGCCTCAAACATCATCATCTGATGCCTCATGCATCACCTACTTAATTGAAAATCTACAAAAGTCTAAGAAAATTCCTTCCAAAAGATTCACTGATAATCAAAATACAGTATCATTCGATAGCTCTCTCGGAAAATGTGCTTCTTTTTGTTACAATTCTGATTCATGTAAATCATTCCAATTCTGTTCTGGCTCATGCAGTATGGCAGGTTATTACACGGATGCAGCAAGTGATTACAGTGAAGATTGTGCTATTTATATTCGTAAGTAAAATTCACTAATCGTTATACCAATTATCGCTGACGATTAATACAAACTAAAGATTTCTTTTATTTATAATTCAGCAAAAGTATTGGATAGGTTTGAAGTGACTGGAACAATGATTTTCGAGGACGTTTTTCACACTGAAATGAATCTCAATGCCGATCAATGTGCTGCTCTTTGTCATGATTGGAACGATAAAGAAGTCACTTGTCAGTCTTTCAATTATTGCCCAGCTCATGCTAAAAAGCTGAGCATTTGTCAATTATCAAAGTATTATCCAAGTCATGATGCTGATGTGAAACTTGTTCATTCGGATACTTGTCAAAATTATCAAAGGAGTGAGCAAAGTTTGATTGACCAACAAAAAAACAACGCAATCACTAGAAGTACGCACATTGGAACAATTTTTGGTTCAATCGTGTTATTCGCGGCAGCTGGACTTATTTTTGGAGCTCTTGTTGCTATTGTGACCACAAAATTTTATTACAGCAAGAAAAATGATCCATCTGATTCCTACAACCGTCACACATTCAGTTGGGATAAACAGTTGAATGAATGATGATTGATTGCAGATAAATCTAATAATAAGTTATTAAAAACAAACAATATAAAGCTGGTTATTGTACAATTCAGTGATATCACTAATTCATAATTAATTATAATTCAATTTAAAAAATTAAGTTAACCACACTAGAGTCTGCTACAATCAACACTAATCGCAATGTCCTACACGCTGAGTCAATAAATTCAATCCACATTGAAGACTCGAATTCGCAATAAAAATCCTTTTCAATGAGAAAACTGTTTAAATCCCTTGAAATAAATCATCAGAATCAACATGGTGAGGGACTTTTGCGTTTACCTAATAATTTGCTGAATATTATTAAGAATTTTTAAAATTGATGAATCAAAGTGGCGAAACAGAGATGAGTTTAAAACAGAACAGATTTAAAGATGACAAAAGGAATTGATTAAAAGGTTAGAATGGACTAAAAACGAATAAAATCTCTTTTGAGAAAGAAATCTATTCTTCTCAGCAATGTTAAGGTTTGCCTGTCAAGCCTAACAGCATTCAGAAGGTGAATCCATTTATTAGTCTGTTTTCAATCAAGATGCTCTTTCCTCGAGTTTTCATTTCAATCACACATTTAAGTTACACATCAATATGAATGAAGAAAAGAAGAGGAGAAAAAAATGTTAAAGTAATGATTTTTGTTCGAATTGGAAAATTTTCCTTCCATTGTATGAGAGCTTTCAAAGTCGATAACCAATAGAGTCAATTTTGCATCATTTTTCCTTCTCGTGCAAACAGAAGCAGAAGAAAAAAGTTTTTACCTTATTCAGATTTTCTTTATTCAATTGACTTGAGAAAAAAAGTAAAAGACTTGAATATAAGATTATAAAAGTGTATTTTCAATGTCAAGAAAATCTGTTGAATCACATTGGTGCACATTCATCATGATAGTTTTATATCTGTCTACTTTGAACACCATTTTCTTTCCCTTCACTTGTTCGAACCTCTCATCTTGAACAGAACATTTGTTTACCATTTAAATGCAATATAACTCGAAATGTATGCATTGGGTTTCAACCTTTTTTCACTTATTCTCAGTTCATCTATCACAATGTGAATACTAATCTGTCTGTCATTTTGCCTCCCATTCATTCCTCTGCATTCATTCAATATTTTCATTTTTTCTTCTCAGTCTTTTTTATTGGATACTTTTTTATATTCGCATAAAAAGAAACGTTCAATTTAACTTTTCATTCAATTGTCAACTTGTTTAGACCTTTTCTGTTTAAAATTGCTGCTTAAATACAAAGAAATGATTGTTTCTCCGATTCAACAATTTTTTCTTGCTTCACATCAACAATGATGCAAAATGATCACTTAAAATAACACAATATTTGCAACCAAAAAGGCACTAGAACAGGTACATTTGCTTGACAGTTGATTTTTAACTTGTTTAGTTTCCTTGCGAAGCTCAATTTGTCCGATATTTAATCTCAAAGCTTTAATGTTGCTTCAACAGGAAAGAAAATTTCGATCGAATTCAACATAAATTTTGATTGGGACAACATATTTTGATGAAACTTGAATAAGAATCATCACTTTGGAAGATGCTTGTTCTATTTCTGGGAGTTTTTTTTCTATTTTCTTAGTTATCGCACCCTTATGCTTATGATATCTGAATAATGAGATGAATACATTAAGAGATGATAATTTGTGAATAAAAAAACCATCGATTGTAATTGACATTAAATGATTGTTTCTTGCTTTATTTACGTTTTAACCATTAACCATTGTCATTTATAATGTTTCTCATATTTATCGCTCAATTAGCTCAACTCAGTTTATCCGATCAATTCATTGACTTTCATCTCTCCCCTGTCTGCTTACTTTAGTTTCTGCATGTCAAATGCAGAGAAAGAGACAGACGAATAAGAGTGGGGAAAACGAGGCAATAATGATGATTAGCATCATTTGATTACAATTTATTCACAATTATTGTGAGGCTCATGTTTATGCTGATAATGATGATGGTTTCAAGATGAGATTTACGGAAAATACATGTATCATGATAATTGAGAAGAATCGAGAATTTTTTGCTGCTCTCTTCTGGAAAGAAATGCTCAATAATCTGTGCAATCAACAACATCCAAGAAGGAAAATTGATTTAAATCGAGAATGGATAATGTTATTCGAGCTTCTAATTAATGGGTCAATGATGCTCAATTCCCAAAATGGTTCATTTTTTCCTTCTGAGTTACATATTTTTGCTTCATTGTTCATGCCAAAAATAAATTATACTCTCAACTGATAAATGGAAATATTATGATACTTCACAAGAGTCACTTTCAATCTGTAATGCGTCGCATTTTTTTCCATCTATTAAAGGCTTCGAAAAGGTCGCCTGAAAATCACAAAGGTCAATTCTATTGACATTACATTACATTTCTGCATTTTTATTAAAATCATTAATTTGCACGAACTTTTTCTAAAATTTGTAATATTGCTCGATAAGTTTATTGTAAAAAATCAAATTAAAAAAGCTAGCCTTAAGGTTTCCAAAAGTTTCAACCCCAATTGTCTGAAAAACCATTTTCTGAACAGAACTCAAGACACTTTTCAAAGCCCGCTTGGCTCTATCGATTAGCATTATAATTTGTTTGATTCACATAAGGTGAGCTATTAGCATCCATTGCTCGACATGAAACTGACTGAGAGTAAGAAGTTTCCTCTGCATGGTTATCATTTATTTCACTCAAGTAAATATCACATCGGCTTCAGTATCTTAATTGCATTTGAGAATAATCACGGAAATACAAATTTCATCCTCTTCTTGGTTGCATATTGAAGCATCAATAAAAAGTTCACAATAGTTTGATGGGCGAATTTGATCAGCTTGTAATGAATTGGCAGAAATAGCGAAAATGATGTCTCATAATATTGATGTTTATTTTTCAAACACTTTCTTTATCTCTTCTACATTTGTGCTCAACACTTGTATGAATAATTCCATCATGAAATCCGATGCCTTTTTGATACTCTTCTCATCATGATTCATTTTCTCTTTATGCTTCTTCATTTCCAATGTCAACTCGTTCAACTATCAATGATTAATCAAACATGAAATATTATTCAGTCTGTATTGATAGAAATGTCTCACTTTAATTTGTGCAACTAAGACTGTTGAATCAGATTACGATATAAAAAAGTGTTGAGTTACAAGTTGATGACTTATCAGTATTAATGAAAATGTTCTTGTCGATGAAAAGAGCAACATTTAGGGTTTTATATTTGGCCTATGAATGCAAAAAAAATGAAAGACAATTTTGTTTCATTCCACTTCCATTTCTTCATTTGAATTGCAAGTTTTGATCGAAAAAATTGCTTCGAACAGGAATATTATTATGTTCAGTAGATTGATCAAGAGACAGCCAATGTCATAATCTGACCTGAATAACACTTTTATTCAGAGAAAGAGCAATTCTTAACTGCATAAGTGTTTTCTACATGTTGATTGATTTCAAGAACTGTTGCCTGATGCTTAAAAAATTAGACTGAATACGCACTGTCGATAATTGAATACAGTTTCATTCGAACTCTATTTTGATCTCTTATCATTTCGTAACAGTAAAACGAGATGAAAGCGAAGCAATCCAGGGACAGATTGGAGGAATTCCAGAAGCCTTGGAATGAGTTTTCGTTGATAAGTTCGTTTCTCTGTTAATGAAGTCCGTTAAAAACATTCATAGTTTTGATCTGAAGTCTTACGTCCATGTTGAATGTCTTATACTGTTGATTCTTCGAACTCAGCATCTTCTTGAATGTTTCTTCTTTTGTTTCATTTTTTTATCTTAATCTTCAATTTCGAAGTTCATTTCATTGTGCAAGCAATCATTTAAGTCCATTTTCTTTATCAATAAAATGCTTTTCCATCACCATTATCATCATCAATTTTTGTTGAAACTTTTTTCTTCATTCTTTTCGGTTCGTTTTCCTACTTTACTTTTTTTCACCTTTTTAGTTTTTGGAGTTACTTTTCTCATGATTTATCAATGACTACATAAAAAAGATTGGAAAAGTTTAGATAACATTTAATAAGCTCAATTTAACTTTATATTATTATATTGTTCAAGGCAAAAGTTAGGGAAAAGATTGAAAATCAAATGTGTTTACCGAAAGGTTTTAAGTGCAAAAATAATAGTTTATAAACAAAAGGGTAAAGCAGAAGGAAACTGGAAATTATGAAACGAAAGAGTTTTTCATTCTTTTCTGAGCAGATATTAATAAAATAATTTGGGAATTTCTTTCTTTTTTTCATTCCAATTATCTTTCAAGTTTAGATGGAAGCTTTACTTGTTAAGAATTTCAAAAGTTTTGGTAAACATGTTTGAGGCAAACAGTGAATGAACAGTTTACAATGAACAAAGTGTTAGTATGTTTTAACAAGACAAATGAATCTTGTTTACACGTCTAACAATCAACTTGAGATTGAACTTTCTAATCAGTGCAATCATATTGAATCTTGAATCATCTTGAATGTTTCTTCAAGTTATTACATAGTAAAAGTTACGATCATTATGACCGTAAGATGTTTTCAACAAAATTCATGAAAAGTTTTCGTTTTCAAACTGTTTTCTGATTCAAAAGTCACAAAATTTTACATCAACTGCAAAAACAACTTTCAAACTATCCAGGAAATGCTTTGAAAGTATTGACGAACAAGTTGTGTCGAAGTAAAATTAGAAGTCACAAAGAAAATCAATTACTGAGCCAAGAATTTGAATTGCTAATTTGATTACATCTCAAATTAATTTATTTAGCACTGAAAAGACTGGATAGTGATCAACAATTGAAATTTTGATCTCTGAAATTCTCATTGTAAACTAATTAGACTTTCTTTAGTTTTGCATGTACACTGATTGACCTAAATATGATTACTTTTGTGTTCATTTCTTTCCATTAATAGTCTCTCTAATCAATTTCAAATGTTCAGGTTCAATGTTGGTATAATAACACAGTTGGCAATCTAATAAAAAGAAACTCACAAGTCTAATATTACTTAAAGCATCACATTTTGATCACATCAACTAATTGGTTCAAAAGTCAAACATGATATTAGTAGCAAAATTAGCAATCCTTTTGTATCATAAAACACATAATTATACTGTTAATGAGGTATGAATACGATTAATCGAAAATAGCGAATTTCGAACATCATTTCTGTACCAGATTTTGCACAACCAAATCATTCAGCAATTGCAATTGAAACCTTTTCCTAATGTTTGTTCGCACATATTTTATATGAGCATTCAATAAAAACTCTGCGAATGATTTTGAAAAGTTTTCCCTTGAAAAAGCTCTAAGAGTTGTGCATCTACGAATGATTAATAGCTCGATGAGCTTTGCCTTCTCAATTATGGCCGATATTTGGATGCAAATTTGATATAAAGTTAATAAGAGTTATTTATGCTTAATTTGAGTCAGCTTTGATTATTTAATATTTAAATATGAATAACTTTACAATGCAAATCAAAGTTGATCAACAATATCAGTTAAAACAAATGCTATTCTTTCGATGCAAATAAGCCTTTACTCTCGGCTGTTGAACATCAAGTTGTGGCTACAAAGCTGCATCTTAATTCTGTATATCTTCAGAAAACTTAGTAAAAACTAATTCTATTCAAAATATAATAAATAGTGAAACATTTTCCATCCTACGACTCAGCGAATGTCAAAAATTTCACGTTCTAGAGACTTTCAAGTTTGATATTGAACATTGTGAATGAAACTGCAACCAAAATGTGAATGCAAGACAATGAATAGCGACTAGCATTTCATTTGGATGATAAACTGCGCAAAGTCAGCATCTCTTTATCGACTTCTCCCTTACTCGACTTTCATCACTGGAAACAGAAAAGTTTAGTTTCACTCTTTCATCACAATCATCATCTTCACTCTTTCCTTCAATTAGAGCACGTTAACTGCAACTTTTCATTCCTTGTGTGTTTAACAGTTTTCACAATCAACAGATTCTCAGTACAACTTGTTCAACTTCAACACGTTAACCATCATTAGTTTTAATCATGAAACGATCCAACTCAACAATTGATAGTCAACAGGATAATACAAGAAAGTTTCGCGAAAACGACTGGAGACAAGAAAATTGCCTTTAAAGGATTAACACTTGAATATAACTTCGATTTGTTTTGTAATCAGTTTTAGTTGAATTTGCATTTCCATTTCGCTTTATGATTAACCAATTCTGCAAATGGTTTTGTGACAATTTGCTAGGAATATCACGGCTCATGTTTAATTGTTTTTGTTTCATTAAATACTTCATTGTTCTTCCAATCAAATGAGGATGAAGTTAATGACAAGGAAAATGTTTACCTCACCTTGTTATTCAAACTTGATGAGTTATTTTTGCTTCCTATCAACATTACAAGTAACTTGTGGAACCAACTTTATCTCATCCTTTCCTTCCTCAACTGTTGACAATGAGACTTCATTATTCTTCCATCATGACCATTCAAATGCTTACCCTCAACTAAACCATCCCAGTAAACCAATAAAATCAAAAAAGATTAAGTCAAGTGTACAGAAAAGAAGTTATAAAGAAAATCCATTGGATTCTCCTTATAGTTATTTTTCAACTGAACCTTCCGTCACAAACTCAGGTGAGTTGATCAATCTTGAAATGTTGTTGTAACAATGCTTGTTCAAAGTGAAAACAGAATGAAGAATGTAAAAGTTTTTTTTACACAACTCAATTTGATTATACTTGATTTCAATGAAGAGAGCAATAAAATTTTACTCCCAAGAATCAGAGTAACTTTTACTCCCAATTGTGATAACACATTTTTCTTGTTGCATTTCATTTCGCACTTAACTTTTATTCATAGTAAACGGAAATAGAAATTTTGATTTCCGTTCATCTTCATTTTAACAAGCCTGAAATTCAAACATTTTCCCTTCATCCAACCAAGTCAACAGTTTTTGGCTTTTTGTCTATTCATGATTTCCCTTTCAATTTAACCTTTTCCATTGTAATGTCAATTCCTTTTATCTCTCCGAGCAAATTCCACTAAAGACTGGACTAATCTCTAACATGCTCTGGGAGGGAAAAGCTTTTAGTAAAATATCTCAGTCTTCAGGAGATACGCGTTTTAATTGAACCAATTGGAAATTGCAAATTTTCTAGAGAAAGCAATCTCGACCAACAAAGCGAAAATTTTTCAAAGCACTGATGAGTATCTACATGCTGAGAGGGAAGGTGCTTGTTGAAATGAATAAAAAGTTTCAGTCATTGTCTCTTTGTCGAAAGTATTAGCGAAAGTCCAGTCAATCGGACTAGAAAAACTCCCAGCATGGAGTGGATTGAATTGTAACACAACTTTATTACGCTTTTCTGGTCAAGATATGATGAAGTTGAGTATGTAAGATCAATTGCAAGTTGAACAATCAACTGTTTGTATAAGAAAGGATGCATTGGAATTAATATATTAATATGATTAAAGTAATATTTGGTCGTTTCAATGCGAGTAAACAAAATCATCTTTTCTCATTCTCATGTCATCAATATTACAAGGCGCAATGCAAGTATGAAAGCCTAAAAAAGAAGAAAGAAAAAAATAAAAGTTATTAATATAATAATAATATAATAATAATATAATAATAATGCATTGATCAGTCAATCGGTTTAATCAGAAACGGAAAAAGAAGAGTAAATAAAGAAGAGGAAAATGGTAAACATCGAAGCAAATTATTTATCAATCAACTGTTTTACTCATTTAATTAATTTTAATATGATGACAGAGACCCGAGCTCTTTGTAAATACAAAAAATGCCATAAAAGACGATAAATTGTAGAGAGAAGGTTAAGTTGACCACAGATAATCTGAGTTGGAATTGTTTTGATCGTTTAAGGAAGCTTAACTTGGATCAAAGTTTGGGTTTAAGCAATATGGTTAAATGATCCGAAGCCAATTCAATTAGACTTGAACTGTCTTTAAATGATGCAGGGAAACATGAGTCTTAGCATTAAAGACTAGACAGTAAAAGACGGTTTGTCGAGAAGCAAAAGTTGAAAAATTATCATTTGATGAAATGCATTTGGTTATAGTTGATGATGTTAACTAGGAGTTGCAAGTTTTCATGAGCAAAGTTGAGAAAAGTTGGAGTGAAAAAATAAGGAAAAGGGATTTTCTTTCATGTATAAAGTTCTGAACATTAAAGTGATAATGTTATTGTTGTTTTTTTGATGATTATGAGAATGATGATGATGATGATGGAAAAGAGAAATGAAAAGTTGAATGGTTAGTGTTCATGGGGCTAATCTGAATCCTGGTTATTCAGAAAGGAAATCCGTGGGAAGAAGGCGTAAGAATTGGCAGAATCACGCAACTTGATTCACCATTAACTCAATTTGTTTGCTTTTCCATCATCAACTTTCTTCCTTGTTACCTTTTCTTCTTCTCTTCCTTTCTCTACCTTTTAAACCTTCCATGCTACCTTCATCATCATCATCATCATCTTTTTTCAATTATATTTATTCATATATTTACTTCTTATACACACACAGAAATCCCTTTTTTCTCCTCCTTCTCCTCCTTTTTTGATTTATCACTTTCAATTAACTCATTTGGGTTTTTTTATTATAACCCTTTTTGATGTGTTATTTCAATCATCATCATTACGCTGTTCACTTTTGTATAATAGTATAAATAGAAAGTGAAAACCAAAAGACTGTGTAAATGTTGTGTTAATAGGGAACAAAAATAATCATCGCCTTCAAAGTAATCATAATGATCTGATTAATTATGTTATTCAAAAATACCGACAATAAATGTTGAATTTTGATTAATTTTCTGTTTCTTTTATGTCTGCCCTTTTCTCTCGTCGACATTGATAGATGAAAATGATCCAGGAGACAATTATATTGGAGATGTTCCCGAGTTTGTTGATGCCATTTCAAATATAACAGTTCCGATTGGACGTGAAGCCAGATTAACATGTATTGTAAGGAACCTCGGAGTTTTCAAGGTAAAACTATTTTCGCGTTTCATCCACTTTTCGTTTCTTTAAGACCGACAGTCTTACAGCTATGCACAAAGAGTTTCCTGGAAAAACTTTTAGCCTTTCATTTGCTTTGCATTCAGTAGTCATCGAAATGTTTTTGCAGACAAATGCCATCCAGTCGAAGCATTTCATATTAAATTGAAAAATGTTATATGAAAAATTATCCAGCAAAGTATATCTCTTTTTTGTGCATTCAATGGCTATCGATATGTTTTGTTTAATAAAATTCAATTTGTGAGGCAACATGAATCTATCATCAGATGACCATTTTTTCTGTATCGATAGTTCGTGATATTTTTTCGTGGTTTCCCTTCTTTCATTTCATCCTTCATTCACCTTCATTCACATTGATCAGGTTATGGTTCATCATTAATCGTATCATTTCATATTTATTTTCATATTGCTTTTTCATACTGAATAATCAATTGTCTTTTTACCCTTGTACTGATGCATGGAAGGAAAACAAAAAAAAAAGATCAAAATGCATTAACAGATTATGCACAAGATCTTATACAAAATGCAAGATCAATTTTATTATTTGTATTTACACCTTGCAAACGGAGAGGAAATAAAAGAAGAGAAAAGGAAATGAAATGAAAAAGAGTCAATTAATTTCAATTCATCAGTTGATTAATGATGCCATTGCACTGTTATGACAAATCAAATTGCAAACCAATAAATGTTTAGACTTGAATGTGAAAAATTTATGTTAAGAGGAAAACATTTTTCAATAACAGCACAAAACGTAAATTTTCAGTGTAAGCACAAAACAATTTTGACAGAATGTTTAGTCTTCCAAATCAAACAAAAAACATTTCAATAAACATTAACATGACCTGCAGTTGCAGCAGTTAATCAGTGCAGAAGCCTCGACCGCCTGCCCATCCCATCAGTTAGGGTTCCACCGCAAGTTTATTGAAAAGTAAATGAATGTTTATTGATGCTTTTTTCTTAATGCACTTAATCCTCAGGTTGCTTGGATGAGGATCGAAGATCAGACTATTTTAACAATACATGATCACATAATAACTCGCAATTATCGAATTGGATTGAGTCACAGTGAACTTCGCGTTTGGAATTTGATTATCAATGATGCCCAGGAAGAGGACAGAGGAGGCTATATGTGCCAAATAAATACAGTTCCAATGCTCTATCAAATTGGATTTCTCGATGTTGTTGGTAAGTAGATTATTACCTTTAACTATTGGCATAACTCAGTGAATCGGAAGCATAAAGATGGTGTAACAGGAGACAAAAATTTGACTTTGAAATGAACAACTTTATTCCCTGAGAAATGATCAAATATGTCAGTGAACCTGTCGAAACATAGTAATTGTGATTGAGAATTAAATTGTGTTTTTTAGTTAAAAAAGTGCAACAACCAGCGAGACAAAATGACATTTTAATCAAAATTTATTGATTCGAGGAAAGAAGGCGTTTAAAGGATGAAAACAAAGTATCTAAACGAGTTAACATGTGTTGATCATTGATGCTCCTTTTGAAACTCATTAACGATCAACCTTTTTTATCACCTTTGCCTTGTTAAACTGTTCACTTTATTAACATTATCTCGACTAACATTCAACTCTTTGAGGGTCAAACCATTTAATGATCAATATTATATCCTTTTTTTGTCGTTCCTCTTCTCCTTCTCATCGGTGTATCAAAAAATAAAAATAATGTTGATGTGAATCATTGGAAACATCATCATTGAGACATCCCCATGTGCACTCACCATCATCATGCTCATCTTTTCCTTTCTCCTTTTTTCCCTCAACTTTTTTACTTCTCAATCTACTTTGAGATGTTTGCTGAACAAAAAAGCCAGCTCAAAGCAAAAAGTTGATGATGAGCAACAACATCAACAAGAAGCAACTTGAATGAGTTTAAACAAAAAAAAGATGAAACACAAAACACACTTACACACTGGGAGTAAAAAAATATTACAAACAACGCAACCTTAGGCTAAAAAGAATGAAGAATATGTCGTGATGTGAATAACATTGTGTTTATCAAGCTTGTTTGTTTGATGTTATTCATTCTCTTCATCATCATCTTCTCTTCGGTCCGTTTTACTCTTTTCCCTCCAACTTGGCGTGTAAAACATTTTTACTCAATTTTGCTCAGCTTTCAACTTTTTACCTTCCAAACCTTTTTGTTACCTTGAAACTTGAGATTTTATTACATGGCATCATCTCGAGTCTAGAAACTTTTTTGTTTCTTTCACTATTTCTGTTTCACTTTTCTGTTCTCTTCACACATTCACATTCCATATCAATACAGTTTTTCACCTTTTCTCATCCTTTATTCGCCCACTTTTCTTGTTTATTTATTTTCTTGAGCTCAAGTTTTTTCTGTCCCTTTCATTGTTGATGTTAATTCCATTTCATTCAACTTTAGCCCTTCGATCATTGCAAGAGAACAAAGTTTATCTTTTTGTTTCTCCTGCTTTTCACTCTTTTTTATTATATTAGCTTCTCTTCCATCAATATTTGATTGTGTTTACATTGTCTGGCCACAATCAAGACGCTTGTTCAATTGTTTGAAAGCAAAAACAGGTTAAACAATGTATCACAAACATGAAAACAATGTAAAAATAAATAAGCTTCGAATGGGGAAAATGAAAAAAAGAACTTGACTCTTGGCTCATGACAAGGAATCTCATACTATTTTCGAACCTGTAGTCGGTGAATGAATACGAAACAATTCCAATCGCTAGCTGAAGCAATGCACTTTTTACAATCGACTAATAACGACCATTTTTCCTTCAAACATTCAGACGATTCAGACTTTACATTTCATAGTAGCATTCGGAAAATAAAATGAGCTTTTTATTGAGCGTTCAGTTCGCATTCATATTAACAAGTAACAAGGAAATCTTGAATATTAAGCAAAAAGTTACTTCAATAGTTTAATATCGTTAGTTTCAAATGAAAAGTGCAAAGTTGTTGTCCCACAACTGTTCATATAATTATTTGGACAAAGAGTAACAAATGAGTTTTGGCTTAGTTAATGATTAGCAAACTGTGATTGCAGCTGAAAGCCATTGAGTCCATTTTTAGATTGAAATGAAGTTTGACTAAAAGCGCTTTGATGATTTAATTTTCACTAAAAGTATGCAATTATTTAATGATGGATTTACCAATAGATGGTAATAACATTTTGAGACAACAAAAGAAAAGGGTTGATGTATTTATTAACATGAACGCATAATGGATACAAAAGGAGTGTAATAATAAACATGATAAAGATAATAGTTAATATGAAAAAAAGCTTGTTCCGATGCTTCAAAATGAAAGAATAGTTGGGAGTGAAAGAAGAAAAAAAGTCGAGTTTTCCTCTTTTGGTAAACTTTTTGTTGCTGCTAAATAGCTTAGCATGGGAATGGTAAAAAAGAGGATGATATAGGAAGCCATCCATTGGGAGATTTAGCATTCATATAAAATGGTCATAAATCCTCTTGCCAAAACTGAAGACAAGGATGCAGTTTAAAGTCATTTTTACCTTGAATCTCTCGTTATCCTTTGCCTCAACTCAATTCCCATTACCTTTTGGTTTCATCTCATTTTCCTTCTCGCTCATAACTTTCTGCTTAACCATTCAATATTTTTTGGATTTATCCAGTTACTTTTCTCTACTTTATAATATTTAGATTATTACTTTATCAACATGATGATGATGTTGATGGGTTGGAGTAAAATATTAGCCTTTTTTTACTCGGTGAGAGGCAGGGAGTTGGGAAGGAAAAGGAAGAAAAAATTAATACATATTTCTCTTCATCTTTACCCTGGTTTAATATCTGCTAATACCAAATCTTGTTTATTCTGATTATTCCCTGTTATTCAATCTTCCTGTTATCATGCGGGCTTCCGAACAAAATTAAGCTTTAACCTGACCCAAATCAATTTATCTCAATTATTATTTGGTCGTATTATTATAATTTTACGAAAGGTTCAATGATGATGTGATATTGATAATGAAGAGTGCAAAGGGAAAGCGATGAAAATGAATGAATTTGATAAATCCATTTAGCTTTTTAGTTCCAAGGAAAATTTTTTACTTCTCTCTTCTCCTTTAGTTAACCCTGATGAACACTCATCATTATCATCACCATTACCTTGTCCATTTAAACTAATTGGTTCATGTTTGATTTCAACTTTTCTCTCAATTTCTTCTTTTCTATTTTTTGCTCTTTGAAAAATTTTCTCATAAAAATGGAAACAAAAATGATGCCATTTTATTAGTATTAATTGATTGAGCGATATATCCTTAATGAGCTTCACTTATTTCATTAACTCTCTCATCATCATTTGTTTTAATTGTTAGCAAATTTTTCGACTCTTTTTCGCTTCCAATTAATATTCTCACAGCAATATCTCAATGATATCTATTAATAATGAAAACTTTGCCAATGCAATAAAATCGAGTTTATTAAATCGAAAGAAACAGTAAAAGATGAAATTAATTACCGATGGAATCAAGCAAAGATGAAAAGAAGTATTTTCTTGATCTTTACTCCCAGTTTACTGGGAGTGAAAATTGAATAGTAAATCAAAGTTCCTTGCAACACTGAAGCATGAAATAATTTGTAGAAAAGAGGAAGAAAAAATGTGTTTCTTATTCATCATTTTGAGAGTTCAATGTTTTATGGTAAAAGTAGAGTGATGAATATTGTTGAACATTATGTTGATACATTGTAATCAAATGAATGAAGTGTTATAAGTAAATAAACGGAGTAAAGTTTAAAATTCAATGTTGCCTGTGATTGTAAATGATAATAATAATGATAATAAAAGTTGACAGGAGAAGCAGCAATAACAGTGGCAATATCATCATGATTTGTGTCATTATGCATTCGCTGTAGGATGCTTCAAGCTATCAACTAGAAAAAAAGTTTTTGATAAATAAATGAATATACATGTCAATTCCAACTTGCTCTTTACTTTGCCAACTTTTGCCTAAACTGAGTCTCTCCTTTGACTACAAAAGAGATGAACACGGATGAAAGGAAAATGTTGAAATGTTGATAAAATGGTTGCAAATGCATGAAAAAACGACTAGCATTTTGCACTCTAACTTGCATCTAGTTTGTTCATTCATCACACATGGATTAGAAGGGAAACTTGCAAAGGGATATTTAAAGTGCAACATGATTGAACTGAAGCAAGCAACAAAGTCAAATATCATTATTAATACAAATTGATTTGATGTATTCATTGTATAAGATTGTTGGAGTGCAATTTTGGTAAACATGAAATTTAACAGCATTGACTCATTGAGAGTCGACTTGATTATATTTGGAAAGAAAGGACGTGACTGAATAGAATTCATATTTTCTTGTTAATATCTATTCACATGTTTATTTATCTGTTGTACACATTTTCATCTTTCTCTCGAAATCTTTTTTTTTCGAAAAACTTTCCAATGTTTGCTACTTTTTTCCAATGGAAAAACTGAATTTTCCAAAAATGATCCACAATCATGATCATGGTTCTATTGCAATTTACAGACTTTTCAAGTTCAATTTTCTTTTCATGATTAGTTGATTCGAGTTGAGATAATCTCTTGATGATTTTATTCAAGTTCAATGTTTATCTTTCGAAACTGAGATGAGACAAATGTTGAAGTTTCCATCTGATTTTATGGAAAAAGAACGAAGGGAAAGTCGAAAATGTCTTTTCATTGTTGAGGCCATTGCTTACCTGGTTATCATTTGAGTAGGAAGAAGAAAATTTTCTTGTGCATTCATTTATCATTTTAGCTTTTAAAATGTTCACATTTCTCTCTTTTACTGAATGGAAAAATTAATCAATTCTGGAAATTCATCATTCCTGGTTGCTAAGTGTTTTGTGTTTAACGAAATTCCTCATTTCAAGTTGATATCAAAAATAATATTAATTATTATTTCTTAAGTAACTTTGACTTTTCTCTCGGGAAATTTCAACATTTACAAAGAAGTAAAAGTTGATAAAATTTAATGTAAACAGCTACAATAATTATACATTATTAAAGTAACTCGAACCTGAATTTATATCGATTTGAATCATTTCATCATTAAAAAACATTACATTTTCGTGTCAATACAATAATCTCAATTTTACTTCAACTTGCGTTTGTTTTCTGGTAACAGCAACTTTGCATTATTCAGACTTGTTTAAACTTTTCACAAAACTTGGGAA